TCCCAAGTCAGCTCGGACCCTCTCCGATGTTGCCACTGGACTTGAACCAGGGCCACCTCCTTGTTCCTCAGAACCTTGATCTTTCGATCCATAATCGCAACTGGCCTCTCAACATAATTTAGGCTCGCATCCACCTGAATATCTTCCAATGGCACCACCGCCGACTCATTGGCTATACACTTCCTCAACTGAGACACGTGGAAGGTATAATGAATCTAGCTCAACTCCGCAGGTAGCTCCAAACGATATGCTACCCTGCCCACCCTCGTGGTCACCCTGAACGGACCAATGTACCGGGGCCCCAACTTGCCCCTCTTCCTGAATCGGATCACTCCTTTCCAAGGAGATAGCTTCAGGAGTACGAAGTCTCCCACCTGGAACTCAAGCTCGGATCGTCGCCTATCTGCATAACTCTTCTCGCGACTCTGAGCTGTCAACAACCTCTGCATGGCCTGCTGTATCTGCTCTGTCGTCTGAAGCACTAACTCAGTGCTACCCAACACTCACTGCCCGACCTCTCCCCAGCAGATGGGAGTCCGACATCTCCTCCCATACAACAACTCAAAGGGAGGCATACCGATACTCGAATGGTGGCTGTTGTTATAAGAAAACTCAGCCAACGGCAGATACGTGTCCCAACTTCCTCCGAAGTCCAACACACATGCCCCAATCATGTCCTCGAGCATCTGAACCGTCCGCTCGCACTGACCGTCCGTCTGTGGGTTGTATGCGGTACTAAAATTCAGCCTCGTACCCAACTCCTCATGGAATTTCTTCCAGAACCTGGAAGTGAAACGCACATCTCGATCCGGCACGATCGATATCGATACTCCATGCCGCGATACCACCTCTCTCACATACAACTCTGCCAGCCTCTCAGCAGAAGTGCTCTCACTGATAGCAAGGAAATGAGCGCTCTTCGTCAGCCGGTCAACGATCACCCAAATTACATCGACACCTCTCGCAGTCTTCGGAAATTTGGTGATAAAATCCATGGACATCTGTTCCCACTTCCACTGGGGAATCTCAAATGGCTGGAACTTGTCATGCAGCTGCTGGTGGTCGGCCTTAACCCTGCGACAGGTCAAACACCTCTCCACAAACCACGCAACATCCCTCTTCATACAGGGCCACCAATAGTGTCTCTTCAGGTCCAAATACATCTTAGTGGCCCCAGGATGGATCGAAAACCTCGATCTGTGCACCTCCTCCATCAGAATGGTACGTGCCCTGCCCTCAAATGGCACCCAAATCAGACACTGAAAGGTCATAAGCCCTCGGCTATCGGCAATGAACTCAGATACCTGCCCGATCACCCATTCTCTCTTGCGGTTCTCCGGTCTCATGGCCTCTACCTGGGCCTCCCGAATGATGTCCAGCACCGGAGTCATCACCGTCAACCTCATACGAACATCTCGTATCGGGGCACTCTCCGCCCTACGACTCAAGGCATCGGCTACTACGTTAGCCTTGCCCGGATGGTACAGGATCTCGCACTCATAATCCTTTACCACATCCAACCATCTCCTCTGGCGCATGTTCAGGTTGGGCTGATCCATCAGATACTTCAAGTTCTTGTGGTCTGTGTATATGGTACACCGAACCCCATACAAATAGTGACGCCAGATCTTCAGGGCGAACACCACAGCCCCCAACTCCAGATCGTGAGTAGGATACCTCGTCTCATGAGGCTTCAGCTGCCTCGATGCGTATGCTATCACGTGCCCTCTCTGCATCAGCATCGTACCCAATCCCGATATCGACGCGTCACAATATACCACAACATCCTCCATCCCCTCCGGAAGGGCTAACACTCGGGCTTCGCATAATCTCTGGCGAAGTGCCTCGAATGAGGCCTGCTGCTCTGGGCCCCAACTGAAAGCCACGCCCTTCCGGGTCAACCTGGTGAGAGGAACAACAATCCTGGAGAAATCCTTGATAAATCTCCGATAATAGCCGGCCAATCCTAGAAAACTCCTGATCTCTAAAGGGGATCTCGGCACCTCCCAAATCATCACCACCTCAATCTTGGCCGGATCGACCAATATCCTATTCTGGTTGACGAGGTGTCCTAGGAACTGGACCTCTCGTAACCAGAAATCGCACTTAGAGAATTTGGCGTAAAGCCTCTCCGATCTCAGAACTCTGAGGATCTCCCTCAAATGCTCCTCATACTGCTCTCTGGATCTCGAATACACCAATATATCATCAATGAACACGATCACCGAATGATCCAACATCGGCCTATACACTCTGTTCATGAGATCCATGAACGCCGCCGGTGCATTGGTGAGCCCGAAAGGCATCACCACGAACTCGTAATGCCCATAACGAGTCCTGAACGCCGTCTTCTGGATATCTTCATCGCGCACTCTCATCTGATGATATCCAGACCTCCGATCAATCTTGGAGAACCAAGACGCTCCCTGCAACTGATCGAACAAATCATCGATCCTTGGTAAGGGGTAACGGTTCTTGACCGTTAGCTTGTTCAACTCCCGGTAATCAATGCACATCCGATGTGAACCATCCTTTTTCTTGACAAAAAGGATCGGCGCTCCCCACGGCGAGCTACTCGGCCGAATAAACCCCTTCCCCAGCAGCTCATGCAGCTGTGAGGATAACTCCTACATCTCTGGTGGCGCAAGGCGATAGGGCGCCTTGGCGATAGGGCGCCTTGGCGATAGGGCCCCTGGAACCAAATCGATACGGAACTCTACCTGCCTCTCGGGAGGCACTCCCGGCAACTCCTCGGGGAAAACGTCGGGGAACTCACGCACTATCGGAACCTCATCGACCGATCTGGGCCTCTCTGCATCTACCCTCGCATCCACCACATAAGACACAAACCCACTACAGCCCTGCTGTAGGCTCTGCCTCGCTCTAGCGGCCGAACAAAATGCTGACCCAGAACGGGTACCCTCACCATCAATCGTAAGAACTCCCCCACTGGGGTCTCGTATGGTCACCAGATGTCGCTCGCAGTCGATAACCGCTCCAAACCTGCTCAACCAGTCCATGCGCACGATGACACGGACATCTCCCATCGCAATCGGGACCAAATAAATCGGAAACTCAACGCCGAAGATCTCGAGTACACATCCTCGAATCACATCAGTGGCATATACCGATCTCTCGTCAGCTATGGAAACTCGTAGAGGCCGACTCAACGCCTCCCGACTGATACTGATGTGCTGACTGAAGGCTAATGATACAAAAGATCGACTGCACCCGAGTTAAATAACACCAAGGAAGGTACATAACTCACAAGAAAAGTACCTACGCATATCATAATATAAGCACAATATCTCAAACATCAATTAAATACATGAAAGAATACATACCAGCCACGACATCGGGCACTGCGTGGACCTCCTCCGCTGTCAACTGGAAGGCTCTTCCTCGTGCCTTTGGTGCCTCGGCCTCCACCGGCCGAGTCTCGGTAGCTCGTACTGTAGCAGGGGCAGATCCCTGTGATGCTCCCTGTGTTGACCCCCGCAGTTGCGAGCACTCGGCCTTCCGGTCTCTGGTCTGGTTGCAGTGAAAACAGACTGCAAACCCCTTGGGGCAATCCTTGGCCATGTGCCCCTCCTTGCCACACTTGTAGCAAGACCCCGCTCTACAAATCCCCTCATGACCCTTCCCGCACTTGCCATAAGTGCGGCCCTTCTGGTTCCCTGATCTCGAAACGGCGGGCTTGGCCCGCTTAGCTGCCGGCTGGGACAGAGCCGGTCGGCGATCCCTCGCCTGAGACTCCCCCTCCTCCTTAGCCTGAGTCTCAAGCTCTATCTCCCTCTTCCGAGCATTTGCCTGAAGCTCGGCAAATGTCCGGTACGAGGATTTCGCCACGAACTCGCGGATGTCTCTCCTCAAAATTCTCAAATACCGACTCATGCGTGTCTGCTCGGAAGACACGTGCTCAGGGCAGAACATCGCGCTCTCATGGAACATCCTGGTGATCACAGTAACAGACTCGGTACCCTGCTTGAGGGTCAAGAACTCCTGGGCCAAACGTTCCCTTTCCACCGGGGGAACGTACTCATCACGAAACATAGCGGTGAACCTCTCCCAGGTCATCGCGGCAAGATCTGCAGAAGAATAGTGCGCTGTCACAAACTTCCACCAGTCCTTCGCTCCCAAGCGAAGCTGGTTCACCGCGAACCGAACTCTCAGATGCTCCTGATATGAACATGTATAGAAGCATCCCTCAATGTCAGAAACCCATCTCATCACTGCAATCGGAGCCTGCGTCCCATCAAACTCTGGTGGCTTCGTGTTGCTGAACTCCCAGAACAGCAACGAATCACCACCCTGAGGTCTAGCTGCAACAACAGATGCGGTAGCTGCAGCGGCTGCAGCCTCAGTAACCACTGCGTATCTCTCATCAAAGGTCTCAATCAACGTGGTCTTAATAGACCCAAACATCTTTGGAATCTCTACGTGGATAGCCGCAGCCACCTCCTCGTGGATCATCTGACGAAGCTCCTCGTCACTCACACCGCTAGTCTCTGGTCTGTGGCGTGTCCCAACCATGATGTCTCTAAAATACAACATAAGGAATGTAAGAGAATCGCTCGAGCATACTAACACTCGATAACTCAGCCCTACTTGCTCCTTAGTACCCTGAGGATTCTTACTTGGACTAGGCACTGATCCGATGTCTTCAGTAGTACGGGCCCTATACTACCGTCCACACCGCATCAGTATTCAACCCAATTCCTCCTCCTAGGATCCCAAATCCCAAGTACTATAATCTCCTTATGCATAAACTACTCTCTAGCAGATCTCTCATAAGCTCCTCGCTGTTATCTACTCACTCTCAAGCATCTCCTAGCAGCAAAACCCCTAGGCTAAGGCATCACAAATCAGGCCACTCTAGTCCTAATAATAAAACCTAGCCTACTCTAGCATGCATCTCATATCGTATCATATCTCATAACATATAATATAAGGGTATTTTGGGAAATCACCGTTCGGGCGCTGGCTGATCGTACACACTGCTATGTTCTGCTCTTTTCAACATCCCTCTTCATACAGGGCCACCAATAGTGTCTCTTCAGGTCCAAATACATCTTAGTGGCCCCGGGATGGATCGAAAACCTCGATCTGTGCACCTCCTCCATCAGAATGGTACGTGCCCTGCCCTCAAATGGCACCCAAATCCGACACTGAAAGGTCATAAGCCCTCGGCTATCGGCAATGAACTCAGATACCTGCCCGATCACCCATTCTCTCTTGCGGTTCTCCGGTCTCATGGCCTCTACCTGGGCCTCCCGAATGATGTCCAGCACCGGAGTCATCACCGTCAACCTCATACGAACATCTCGTATCGGGGCACTCTCCGCCCTACGACTCAAGGCATCGGCTACTACGTTAGCCTTGCCCGGATGGTACAGGATCTCGCACTCATAATCCTTTACCACATCCAACCATCTCCTCTGGCGCATGTTCAGGTTGGGCTGATCCATCAGATACTTCAAGTTCTTGTGGTCTGTGTATATGGTACACCGAACCCCATACAAATAGTGACGCCAGATCTTCAGGGCGAACACCACAGCCCCCAACTCCAGATCGTGAGTAGGATACCTCGTCTCATGAGGCTTCAGCTGCCTCGATGCGTATGCTATCACGTGCCCTCTCTGCATCAGCATCGTACCCAATCCCGATATCGACGCGTCATAATATACCACAACATCCTCCATCCCCTCCGGAAGGGCTAACACTCGGGCTTCGCATAATCTCTGGCGAAGTGCCTCGAATGAGGCCTGCTGCTCTGGGCCCCAACTAAAAGCCACGCCCTTCCGGGTCAACCTGGTGAGAGGAACAACAATCCTGGAGAAATCCTTCATAAATCTCCGATAATAGCCGGCCAATCCTAGAAAACTCCTGATCTCTGAAGGGGATCTCGGCACCTCCCAACTCATCACCACCTCAATCTTGGCCGGATCGACCAATATCCTATTCTGGTTGACGAGGTGTCCTAGGAACTGGACCTCTCGTAACCAGAAATCGCACTTAGAGAATTTGGCGTAAAGCCTCTCCGATCTCAGAACTCCGAGGATCTCCCTCAAATGCTCCTCATACTGCTCTCTGGATCTCGAATACACCAATATATCATCAATGAACACGATCACCGAATGATCCAACATCGGCCTATACACTCTGTTCATGAGATCCATGAACGCCGCCGGTGCATTGGTGAGCCCGAAAGGCATCACCACGAACTCGTAATGCCCATAACGAGTCCTGAACGCCGTCTTCTGGATATCTTCATCGCGCACTCTCATCCGATGATATCCAGACCTCAGATCAATCTTGGAGAACCAAGACGCTCCCTGCAACTGATCGAACAAATCATCGATCCTTGGTAAGGGGTAACGGTTCTTGACCGTTAGCTTGTTCAACTCCCGGTAATCAATGCACATCCGGTGTGAACCATCCTTTTTCTTGACAAAAAGGATCGGCGCTCCCCACGGCGAGCTACTCGGCCGAATAAACCCCTTCCCCAGCAGCTCATGCAGCTGTGAGGATAACTCCTACATCTCTGGTGGCGCAAGGCGATAGGGCGCCTTGGCGATAGGCGCTGCCCCTGGAACCAAATCGATACGGAACTCTACCTGCCTCTCGGGAGGCACTCCCGGCAACTCCTCGGGGAAAACGTCGGGGAACTCACGCACTATCGGAACCTCATCGACCGATCTGGGCCTCTCTGCATCTACCCTCGCATCCACCACATAAGACACAAACCCACTACAGCCCTGCTGTAGGCTCTGCCTCGCTCTAGCGGCCGAACAAAATGCTGACCCAGAACGGGTACCCTCACCATCAATCGTAAGAACTCCCCCACTGGGGTCTCGTATGGTCACCAGATGTCGCTCGCAGTCGATAACCGCTCCAAACCTGCTCAACCAGTCCATGCGCACGATGACACAGACATCTCCCATCGCAATCGGGACCAAATAAATCGGAAACTCAACGCCAAAGATCTCGAGTACACATCCTCGAATCACATCAGTGGCATATACCGATCTCTCGTCAGCTATGGAAACTCGTAGAGGCCGACTCAACGCCTCCCGACTGATACTGATGTGCTGACTGAAGGCTAATGATACAAAAGATCGACTGCACCCGAGTTAAATAACACCAAGGAAGGTACATAACTCACAAGAAAAGTACCTACGATATAAGCACAATATCTCAAACATCAATTAAATACATGAAAGAATACATACCAGCCACGACATCGGGCACTGCGCGGACCTCCTCCGCTGTCAACTGGAAGGCTCTTCCTCGTGCCTTTGGTGCCTCGGCCTCCACCGGCCGAGTCTCGGTAGCTCGTACTGTAGCAGGGGCAGATCCCTGTGATGCTCCCTGTGTTGACCCCCGCAGTTGCGAACACTCGGCCTTCCGGTGTCCGGTCTGGTTGCAGTGAAAACAGACTGCAAACCCCTTGGGGCAATCCTTGGCCATGTGCCCCTCCTTGCCACACTTGTAGCAAGACCCCGCTCTACAAATCCCCTCATGACCCTTCCCGCACTTGCCACAAGTGCGGCCCTTCTGGTTCCCTGATCTCGAAACGGCGGGCTTGGCCCGCTTAGCTGCCGGCTGGGACAGAGCCGGTCGGCGATCCCTCGCCTGAGACTCCGCCTCCTCCCTAGCCTGAGTCTCAAGCTCTATCTCCCTCTTCCGAGCATTTGCCTGAAGCTCGGCAAATGTCCGGTACGAGGATTTCGCCATGAACTCGCGGATGTCTCTCCTCAAAATTCTCAAATACCGACTCATGCGTGTCTGCTCGGAAGACACGTGCTCAGGGCAGAACATCGCGCTCTCATGGAACATCCTGGTGATCACAGTAACAGACTCGGTACCCTGCTTGAGGGTCAAGAACTCCTGGGCCAAACGTTCCCTTTCCACCGAGGGAACGTACTCATCACGAAACATAGCGGTGAACCTCTCCCAGGTCATCGCGGCAAGATCTGCAGAAGAATAGTGCGCTGTAACAAACTTCCACCAGTCCTTCGCTCCCAAGCGAAGCTGGTTCAGCGCGAACCGAACTCTCAGATGCTCCTGATATGAACATGTATAGAAGCATCCCTCAATGTCAGAAACCCATCTCATCACTGCAATCGGAGCCTGTGTCCCATCAAACTCTGGTGGCTTCGTGTTGCTGAACTCCCAGAACAGCAACGAATCACCACCCTGAGGTCTAGCTGCAACAACAGCTGCGGTAGCTGCAGCGGCTGCAGCCTCAGTAACCGCTGCGTATCTCTCATCAAAGGTCTCAATCAACGTGGTCTTAATAGACCCAAACATCTTTGGAATCTCTACGTGGATAGCCGCAGCCACCTCCTCGTGGATCATCTGACGAAGCTCCTCGTCACTCACACCGCTAGTCTCTGGTCTGTGGCGTGTCCCAACCATGATGTCTCTAAAATACAACATAAGGAATGTAAGAGAATCGCTCGAGCATACTAACACTCGATAACTCAGCCCTACTTGCTCCTTAGTACCCTGAGGATTCTTACTTGGACTAGGCACTGATCCGATGTCTTCAGTAGTACGGGCCCTATACTACCGTCCACACCGCATCAGTATTCAACCCAATTCCTCCTCCTAGGATCCCAAATCCCAAGTACTCTAATCTCCTTATGCATAAACTACTCTCTAGCAGATCTCTCATAAGCTCCTCGCTGTTATCTACTCTCTCTCAAGCATCTCCTAGCAGCAAAACCCCTAGGCTAAGGCATCACAAATCAGGCCACTCTAGTCCTAATAATAAAACCTAGCCTACTCTAGCATGCATATCATATCGTATCATATCTCATAACATATAATATAAGGGTATTTTGGGAAATCACCGTTCGGGCGCTGGCTGATCGTACACACTGCTCTGTTCTGCTCTTTTCAAAACCTTTTTACTCCTTTTAGAAGAAAAAAATTTAGTTTTATTTTGAAAAATCTCTCAAATCCTCAGTTTGAGTTCAGATACGCCCGAAGGTGCACCCGAATCCCCTCAAACCAAGGCTCTAATACCAACTTGTAACAACGTAAATTTCAAAACAATTTTTCACTTTTAAAAAAATGTAATTTCATTCATAAATATTCTCAAATCTCAACGTATCACATATCAAATCCATAAAACACATCCCAAGATCATAATGTATAAAACTCCAATAGTGTGTACTGATCATGTCGGCGCCTTCCCGCGATCCTCACTAGTACCTGAAACACATAACACAAAATACTATAAGCATAAATGCTTAGTGAGTTCCCTAAAATACCACACATATTAGCCACTCGAGGCTATAACTTTGTGGGCCCTCTGGCCCTAACTCTGTGGACCCTCTGGTCCTAACTCTGTGGACCATCCGGTCCTAACTCTGTAAACTCTGGAATACACATAGCATAAATCATCAACACATCACACACATAGCAAACAAGATACTCTATCACATACTCTAATTACCACTCAAGGTGAAGTATAGTGAGAAGACTCACCTTGGATAACTCGGTAACCCTCGAACTCGGAAATATTGATCTAGCCTCTGCCTAATCACATAAAATAATTACTCTAATCAATACGACTTTCAAAGACTAGGATAATCCCTCTCTAAGTTCTCTAAGAAGGGTAAAAAAGACCATTCTACCCCTCCAATGGCTCAAAAGTCCAAACATTGACTAAACCCTAATAGTCAACGAAGTCAACTCTAGTCAACGGTCAACTCTGACCAGACTCGTCGTGTGCACACGGACGACTCGGCGAGTCCACACGGGTCCCCTGAATCCTTCTAAGCCTCACTTGGCACGTTGAGTCCCTCCTCCACTCGTCGGGTTACTCTGCAACGAATCGCGGGGCAACCCCGACTCGACTCGTCGAGTCCACCTATGAACTCGACGAGTTGCTCCCATAACAACACTCAAATGACCTTCTGAGGTCAGATCTGCTTCTCTAACCTATAGATCTGACTTCCCCAACACCAATAACCACGTAAAGGTCAAATCTTGATTCACATGCAACGCATCCAAGGCTTCTTTTGGTGAAATAACTACTAAAATGGCCACCAAGGCTCATAACTCCAAAGGAATGGCATAAAGCAGGGTGATAGGGACTCTCTGGACCTCTTAAGGTCCAGATCTAAGAACCATTTCACCTTGGGACCTCTCACACTCCAGGTCCAAGCTAAATAATGCATAAAGAAACCCTAGATTAAACTAAATCATCATAATCACGAGAATAAGCACATATTGATACCTCCAACAGCTTCCTCTGATCAAATGGAAATAGATCCAAGCTCCCCAACTTGCTTAGCTTGTCCTTCCTCCTTTCTTCTTGCTAAAACACACAAGAAATGGTGGACAATGGACTCCTTTCTCATTCACAAGACTCACAGCTTCTATGGTACTCTCAAGGACGAAGGTAGCCGCAATTAAGGGCCAAAAGGTCCTTTAAATAGGGCTCAGGCCGGGGGATTTAGGGTTTCAGCTCACATCGCGGACTTGTCGAGTCCACCCTTTCCGACTCGTCGAGTCCGTTCATTAATCCAGTCAGCAGTCGCGTTCCTACTCGACGAGTCCAAGCGTTAACTCGTCGAGTCCCTCACTTTAACTCAAAATAAATAATTAAAACATAATACCTGGAAATCCGGATGATACAATCAGACATCGGGTAGGAGAAGGACACCTCGTCATTAAGAGGGTATCATCAGAAGAGAATCATGTTGATCCCCTCACAAAGGGTTTAAATAGGGTTAAGCACGTTCAACATGCAAGGAACATTGGTCTGAAGGATGATATTAGTTTTAGTGATTAGATAGATATTTAGAAACTTATAACAAATAAATGTAATTGACATTTGATGATTGAATAAATGGAGATTTATTTATGAGTATTGTTTACTATCTTTTGTCAACTGTTTATCTTTGTGTTTCAACTTTGCATGTTTTACTTCACGAATAATTGGATTATTAAAATTTACCACATTCAATCATACTTTAGAAGTAAGTAATGAATTAAGAATATCATGAATTGGATTGTAGATTGTCTAAGTGCTTAGACATAACAATGGTTTGCTGCAACATTCATGAGTACTTCTGAAATGGAGATTTGAGTATTGGATTAAACCACGCTCATTAAATTACTTTATGGAATTTATCACGAGTAATAATGATATGATAATATCATATAATCTTTAAACCGAGATATATGAGTTGTTGTTTACAAGTTGGTTGTGCATTGATAATACGTAAACGCATTAGTAACTTGATGTTATAAAACATATTTTTGTGTACGATTTGATGAGTAAATAGTACAAGCATATAAGTCAAATTTTATCTGTTCCTTTTTCCCTAACGGGAAAAGCGATATCTTGGGCCCCTCGATGATTTGATATAGACTTATGTGTCGGGCCTCGTCAGGTCTGAATTGATGTGTTCAATTAAGTTCTATGTCATTACAAATCAGAAATTAGGAAACAAACTGTTGGAAAATGAGAATGATTATTTTCCATGTCATTTTTCCGCATGATATCTTATAGAACGAAGGATTATATGATCCCTTATCTTAGGACACATAGATGATTAGGTCAGAGTTCGACAATGGCTTTTGAAAGTTACAATGTGCTGGTCGATTTTTGAAGTTGTACTTGAAATTATAGTTATCAGACTTATCCAAGTGGGAGACTGTTGGATTAGGTGTCTAAGCCCATAACTATAATTGGTATATACTTGAGTTGATTGTAGCACAATCATTTTCGCTTGCCTTCACTCTTGCAACTTGACAGATGACTTTTGGAGAGAAGTTGAATTTATTATTTGGAATAATAAAGTGGTTCATAAAATGATTTATTAATATATTATAAGAATAATATATTAATTAGAAATCATAATATTAATTAGTCTTTAATCAGAAATTAATTTGGGATTAATTTTGGGATTAAAGGAACTTATTGAAAGTACAGGGACTGTTTTGCAAATCATTGATAGTTGTGAAACTGGGCTCTTGGACTTCTTATATAGGAGTGGAGGAAAATTATAGGGAGGCCCTATACGTTTTCGTCCAAGGCTTGTCATTAGGGTGTGCATGGGCTGCTTAGGCCTTAAGAAGGAAATTAGGGTTTACACCTGGATACCCTAACTTTGGGACTAAGCAACCTGCAGTGTATAAAGAGGCTTAGCCTTGGGATTTTCGGCCACTTGATCCAAACCCTAGTAGGGACAAGATTCTAAGAGCATTCTGTCCTCTCTCCTCTCATCCTCTTTCAAACAATGTTTGCAAGCCATTAGAGATGTCACATTTGAGGCACCTGCTTTCAAGAGTTCAAGATCTACAAGGATTAATTGTTATTACTAAATAACAATTGAGGTATGTTTCTAAACCTTTGTTTTTATAGATGAATATTAGGTTTTGTGTTTGATATTAAAGTTTTCATGTTCAACTAGTGAAAACCTAGATCCAAAGCATTAGGGTTGCATGAACACATAGGTTTCTAGTTATGCTTAGAACCCATCACAACTGACATTGTAAACAGACCTAAACTCAAACCGACTCAACCCGATACATAGCATCCATGATCCTTGGTATGTATAACACAACAAAATATAATTTTCCAGATAAATACCAAACAAACTCAAAGAAAAACTTCCAAATAATATCCGCCTCTAAAATCAAGGATCCCATGTAGATGCACACACAATAATTTTAACTATTCATTTATAGCACCAATCCTCTATCCAGAAACAAATGGACTACCACACACCTTGTCTACAAATCCCTAACCATCAATTCATCATGAGAATGATTTAGAAATACAAGAGGCATCATTCTCATAGCAGGGATACATCAGAGACAACAAGAGTTTCCATTCTCGATTCACTTCCCTGATCACCTGAAACAATCAACTAGCACCTGAATTAACTATATTTAAAGAAAGCAGACCATTGATCTCATCTCCAGGAAGCTATACCACAAGAATCCTCTTGTTTATTCCCAAACTACCATACTAGCCACTAAAAAATGCAACTATTTAGCCCCTTGTTGGGTCTACCTCCAAACTCTGAAAATCACATATCCCCTGTCATAGATAGTGACATCCTAATCCATCTACCAATCCCTCAGACTCTGGCTGCAATCCTAGAGCTAATCATCACAATCACTTCCTTCTTAAGTCCTGCGACTCAACTGGAACTACCTCGAGAAAGGCCTTGGAGACCTTAAAATCAACTAACTCCCCACGTCTGCACCATTCAAATCAAAACTAACATGGCTACTAAGGCCCAAACAAGCACCGGACCCATCCTCATCCTGAAGAAACATAACTGATATACTGAATATGAAGGGAACACATTACAATGAGTTATGGTACTAAATCATACAATCTACCCCTCAATTAGATCCTTAGAATCCGTGAAATTTTCCTCGATTCA